TACTCTTCTGCACATGGCATTAGGCATCCCAAAAAGCCTATTCTCAAAGTTCATCAAATATATTAGACTATACTGATAGATATAAGCACACACTTGGCCTACCCTGCCTGGATCAGCTAACAACATATCACTTCTCCTTCTTTTTAGGTCTCTGTCACCTTAGCCCATACCTGCATGAATGGAAATTCATCGCAAGCATAGAAGTGTTTTCATGCGGGAAAGGGAGGCACTTTGAGTCTCATACTGCTGGCTGCTACACCTGCCTCTGATTACACATAAAGCACATAAGTATTCACCTACTTATCAGTTCAAACTGTGCAATGTTACGACTTAAAGGACCACACCAAGGAGACCTCCAAATCACACTGATTGAGTTGTAAGTGAAAATAAAGAGATGTCCAAGCACGGTGTTTTGCTGAGCATGTAAGCTGTCTGGGAAGGTGTGTCATGCTTCCTGACCAGCCTGCAGCCCAGGACCTGCACACCACCCCAAAGCTGAGCACAAGCCTGATGAAGCAATTCCTGCTTATTGGGACATCTCTGGGTCCATTTGGCTACATGTGCTCTTAAAAAATCAACATCACCGAAAGAAGGAACATAAACAAAGGAGGTCAGAATCAGTGCAAGTACTTTACCAATGCAAGATCATTATTACCATTCACTTCAAACAGCAAAAATCCCCATGATTAGCAATAACTTAGCCAGGAAAGCAAGCAAAAAAACCCCAAACCACAGTATATCTGCAAGCAGCATTACAAGATTTAAAATTATCATGTGCAGTCATAACCACACTGAGTTAAGATCACAGGAGCAGAGCCCGGTACTACCCATGGGCACCCCTGGACTGAGCAACCACAGAGGAGAGCTGCCTAAGCCATCCCTAATGCAATCACATCCCTAATCAGAGCACACCCAGAGATCACCTCTGCCAGGAAGAGGTGTCTAAAGCTCTTGTCATTCATTTGACATGACAAGATGATTCATTTGATGACAAGATTCATTTGATTCCTCCACGTGCAGCCACTTGGTGCAAAGCAGTCACTCTCCTTAAGTTTAAGAGCACACCCCTGAAAATTTCAGGCTTTTCTTCTACCACACAGAGTCCTCCAAATTAAAGAGGGCAAAAGCCAGTCAGAGTTGGAGGCTGTAAACATGCAAAGACCAAACTAGAAGGAACCGAGGAGAGAAACTTCTCATCTTCCAAAGATGAGAGACTTCTCATCCTCCAAAGCCCTGTGTACATCCCTATTGCAGATCAACATCCCCCTTCTTCACTGGATGAACAGGAAGACATTCTAAAATCAAGTGTTATCCAGCTCCCTGCTACAGCTGTTCGGATAGGCCACAGCTCAACACAAGACAGAGCAGAAGTATTGACTGACCACCACCTTACTACTTCATGTATCAGCATTCCTTGTGGACTGCTGCACTGTTACCCATGGGTCTGTCAAATATGAAGCTCTTGAGAGGGGGCTACTAGGTCTTGGCTGAGCTAGAATGACCTTAGTTGCAACAGAATGATGTTCTATACAGTTAGCCCATTTCAAAAGCCTCCAGTGAGTAACTGGGTCTCCTGACAACTATCCTCCAGCCAGGTAAGACTTCCCATTTCTTTTGGAAGGGCTTGTTTGTTTTCCCAGGTTAAAAAGAGCATACAAAGATCTAAACTAGGACATACTTCTTCCCAGGAGAGGCAAAAGTTCACTAATGAAAGAAAAAGGGAAAGGGAGGCCTTAAGATCAGCCTTAGGAACTGAAGGGCGAGAGAAGTTAAGTGGCTGTTCAGCAAAGTTGTGGTGAAAAAACACTGCTTCTGCAAGGTCACCAAAGAGCAGCAAAGGCTGCAGTGAGGTGCCGAGGGCTCTCCAAGGGCATGACAACCTCAGCTCAAGGTGAACTGAGGTTTTTACTTACTTCCACTGCTGAGAACAGTCCCCTCGTCATTGCAATGTTAATTTCCAACAAAATATGGAAACAACCACCACCTTGTTAAACTGAATTATTAAATTACCTTATTATAAGACAAGCATAGACAGGAGAAGTTTCTATGGACAACTGACCTGCCAAGACTTGCCCCTGTAGCCATACTGCACTGGGAATTTGATGGGAGGCAACAAGCTGTTGCGACCTCTTCTTCCCCGTGCAACTAGCCACATTTATTCTGGTGTCTGTTCATTGTGAGGGGTTATTGCCTTTAACCTGCCCGAGAAATCTTTTTTCCTCTCCAACACAACCCCAGGATTCTGTGAATGCCTCTCATATCCATATAAATACTTATTAAGAAATCTACCTGAAAGTGCTCATGTTGAAATTTGCTTGCAACTCCTTTGTTTAAAGTTTGTGAGTGGTTATTCCAAAGTCTGTCTGCAGTAGCATTAGAGTTGCGCAAGTACAGCTCCTGAAATGTGAAATGAAAGACAACAAAACAAGGCCTCTTACTATCTCAGCAGGAGAGTGTCTGCATGGGTTTTTTCTGCATAAAAAGGAGATTGTTTCTTACATGGTTGTCAGTTAGTTTTTTCAGCATGGGATGACTCCTCTAACAAATAAAAGCATTCATTACAGTAGAGATGCACTCAGCAAGCTTCTGTGGACAAACAAATGAGATCAACCTGAAAAAACATTGTTTGGCTGAACACAAGTGTCACTACTAAAATCATCATACCACATTATTTTTTTTTCCCCTCAAGTGCCTCCTTCCCCTTTAGTATGAACCACGCAGGAAGATTTATCCTGCTACTGGATGTTGTGAACTAGTCACATTTGTGAGATTTAAGCTACCTGTACATGGCAATGTTAATAGTCCATCGGAGAAGACTAACCATGGGCCATACTGAGACCAAGGCCCCTGGGACTGCTGGAGTCATCTCATGCTTTGCAGAGTGAATTCATATCCTGACATGTAAATAAATACCAACTTATTTTAATAAGTTTCTTTACATTTCAAATAAATCAGCAAACATTCATAAAATTCACTTCAAAGTCACCAAATCGGACATTTTGTGAAAACAGTTACAGCTTAGTTTGACATTAATTCAATTTAGATAAAATAATATCTGGAATAATTCTATAGATTCTGCAACTCACTGATAAAAAACTACCCAAGCAGTAACCAGAAAACAATTATTATTCAACTCTTACCTAAAAAATATCTTTCTGAAGTTATTTAACAAAAATAAACAACTCTGTACTTAAAATAAATGATGTAAAATTACAACAGCTCTTCACTTAGGAAACCTGTAGTATAATCTGTAACAAAGCTTTCCATTGGTCTGTGAGCCTAGTTACAGACCTGTAAATAAAAGACTAGTGACAAAGTCTATGATACTGCCCTCATCCCAAGGGGAGATCTGCTGAGCTAGACTCAATTTTATCATAGGAACGTGCATCACAGTAACTCGAAAGAAGTAAATTACCATGGTTCTTCAGAAAAGAGGAGTACGGTTGCTATAGTGAAAAGCAAGTATGTAATTAACAATTTGTACAAAACATGGGCTAACGAATGGTATTTTCAGAGTAAGCATATGAGAGATTTGGATTTTATCCTTCTAAATAAAAGGATAAAAAAAAATTATATAAATTCTGAAAATACATCAAATGCTACTACAGAAAGGAAACTTAAAAGTTTTAAAGCAAAAACTCTGCAAGTACAACAAGTATTTACTTTCAGAAAAAAAATGAACATCATTCTAAAGCAGTCATGGCTGTCTGAATCTATGACTCTGGGAAGAGAACTGCTTCCACCTACATGTGAGCAACTGAGGCTTGACCAATACTTCTCTCTCTTACATGAATTTGAAATAGAGTTTTCACATTTCCATTGATCCAATTTTGGGGAGCTGAGAGGAGTTTTAGCCAAGCAGTGAATGTTCTCAACAAAGCTTTATTATGAATTGGTTATTTTGTTTCCTGGACGTAAGTCAGAGGAGGAATGACTGAATTGTAATACAGAGATACCAAGTTAACTTCTTTTTTCTTTTTCGGCTAAGAGCAACCAAAATACACCATTCCACGTTTCAGAACAAGCCATTCTAATTCAAAGCTGATCACATTAATGTTGTACTTCATTAACAGCCCATGGACGCAAAGCAAATTAACACTGTGGCCTCTTTCCAGTATCAACGTATCTGGGGTCTAGGACAAAAGCAGACATTGTTAATTATTAGATGTGGCTTTCACTAATAAAATTGTACTAAGGCACAGCTTCATGGTGGCAGAGGTGCAGGATGTTACCAAAAATAGTTGAGCATGTATTTAACTATAAACTAGAAGCTTCTTAGTTTGTTTTGCGTAATAACCAAATAGGACAAAATTTTATTGATCTGGCATGTTTTGAACCTATTTTTACTTTACTCATTTCCAAATGGCTGACAATGCCTAAAAGTGACATTAAATGAAGTGCAGCTATGAGTGTAGCAGGAATAGGAGATACAAGTCTCAAAGGGAAAAGCTGGATCCTTCTCTTTTTAAATACAAGTTAAAAGGAGATTACTACCATGCCACATTAATTGAATTTTTATTCAATACACAGTTCTTCTATTCGATGTGGAAGCAGACAAACATATCCCTCAAATGAAAAAAACCAGAACCAACACCCAGACAACACAATACTTCTCTACTGCTTTAGAACTGATGGACATTCTCCCATTTCTTCTAGACTTTGTAAAAATACCCAAAAAGTTACCAGCAGGAGCCCTTAGAAGACTGCTATATCAGGAACGGCCAGCCCAACCACTCACTATTTCAGTTCTTCCAGCCATGTCTTATTTGTGTGCAATGAATAATCAGATGCTAGATATCATTAAGAGTAAGGCATAGTGAATACATACTACCCACAGGCTGGGGTGGAACAGCTGGGCACAGGCCAAATCGATGTTTGCATGTGTTTAAACTGCATGCTCTTAAAAGCTTAACGCTTTGCCTAGATCCCACATATCAACCTTACTGCTGGGTAGGTTGCAAGCAACAACAAAAAATCATCAGTATAGGAAAAGAAAACAATGCTGTAACACAGGCTGCAAAGAGCAAAGAGCTTCCACACTCTTTATTTCAACAGAGATGACCAGTTAAGGTGCTTCTTGGATTCTGCACTGCAGACAGGCTGGCAGAGGTGTCTGTTCAATAAAATTTGTAACAGTCCTTCATGAGTATCTGGGAGCAGTTCTGAAGGCAGAACCCCTGAACTGCTAGTTTCTGTAGCGGGGCATCTGTGGAGCAGGGGCTCCCTCTAAGGGGGCCAAGGAGGAGACTGTCATAAGCTGTCCAGCATGCATCCTCTCATTTACCCGCAGTTCACAGCCATCCTGTAGCATCCTTATAGCTATCCTTGCAATATTTTTAGAGTCATCAAGTCCACTGTGAGGTCTACCATCATAATTCATACCCAGATTTTCAAGCATCATTGTCAGCTTGGTCTGGTTCCTAGGAACCTGATGGAGAAAGTTAACCACATTTGAGAATTAGGTTCTGTACCAAGTCTTTTACATGCAACACAAGGCAGCAGAAACATATGCAGATTTTAAGTTTACTTAAGTCACATACTACTTTCATGTTGCCTTTTGACAGATCACTAACAATTTAACTTCAAAGCACCTTGGTGAGACAGACACTCTCATTTTTACAGAGGAGACATAGTCAACAGGGGCTTGTCTAGACTCAGAATGATGTCAAGAGCCTCTCACCATTACCAGCACCAGCTCAAGATGTCCCAGCACTGGCAACAGTTGGAAGCCACGGTCTAGCTAGCTTTAATCATCCTTATATAAAAGGGATTACCACCCAAAGTGGCATTGCAGGCGCTGTCAGATTTTGGTTTTCCTTTTAAATACTAAGCAATTGAAGAAGCACCAGGCTCCTAATTTTCACTGATGTCAAGCTTCTGGATGCTTCCAAACACCAAAGGAACTGACCAAGAACACTTAGAGCTTACCCATTTGTGTAAACCATGCTTACATAGATGATCAACAGCATAAACAGACAAGGAAGCTTAACTGACTGACCAGTGCAAAATGCTACACCAGCAAAAGTCCCAAGTGTTCTTCTGATTAACTAGTAAATATATTTTTGTTCTTTGGAAGGGTCACAGGAAAACATAACTTTAAAGGAAAACTTGAGTTTGCTCTCATGGTGGTTGGGGTGGGGGAACGTGGGACATGACAAGTTCCAGGATGTTGCACCATACTACTGGATGTAATAGCTAGGCGGAATGGTGACTACACAGTTGCCAAAACCTGGCAATATGCAACTCCAAAAACAACACCCACAAACTGGGCAGGGGAGACATACTGCATGTTGTGGGATGTTCCACAGGAAAGTTACAATACATTCCTTGTCATTAGTTTTATCTATTACTATTACTTAATAACAGATTCAACAGCAGCACAGAATAGCAAAACGGAAGCACTGAACAACTATAAATGCTTAAATAGTTTGCATGTAAAAAAAAACCTAGAGAAAATAAAAAGAAACTGATTCCTTCTCAGTTACAGTCTTTCATTGCTCTTCATTGAGCACTTACTGCTCAACACAGAAAGGAGAAAGGTCTGTCTAGGTTAAAGCTGATAGGGCTAACAAGACTGTTCTGTGTTCCAGCATGTTTCCAACAGAAATGCTTATGCGGGGAAGGCACAATAGCAGAAGGAGACATGGACTAACCCTGTAATATTTGCCCAGCACAAAGTAAAGCTTTTCTCCTGTTAGATGCTAACCTCTTTTTTTCTAAAGGTTACATTAAGTATGGAAAAGCCCTTCAAGAGAAGATCATAAGCTAGGCTGAAATCATGTTCAAACAAATGGTTTAGTGTAGACTGACTAGGAATTTGCTAGAATCCCCAATAACCCCTTTTATGGTAACCTGACAGTGAAGGAAAGCAGTAAAAAGGTCCAGCACTGAACTTGCTGCTACTTTTCTCTTGACAATTTGATTCCACACTAAGTATCCTCTAATCTTTCTCTCCCATGTCTCCCATTACACTGTCAAAAGCAGAGATATCTGAGGGTAGTGGTGCAAATCAGTTTTATAGTATATTACATGAAAACAGGAAAAAAATAATTGAAAAAAATCAATACAGAGTCTTTTCAGGTAAACTACTTCAAGACAAACTTGATCTAAGAGCACTGGTATGACACTGTTAGACAATCCTTCGTGGAGCACCTGATTCTTGAAAACAAGATTACAATCAACATGCAGTAAATTATAAGATCTTCAATTATGAAAGTGAGATTTGGGCATGAAGCAGATTTGAAAATCAGGCCCCAGGCAACTTGCTTAAGTACTGTAATTTTATACTACACAAGTAAAGATGACAAGCACAACAGGACATTCTAGACTTTTAAACCAAATCTTCCTGCAAGAGAAACAACAATTTGTACAAACCTTATAGAAGTTCCCATATGATTTGCGAATATTGATCCACTTTTTGGCAAAAGAAGGGTATTTGATACGGCTAATACGGCACTGGGTGTTCAGAAATTTACTCATATCCCAAGACCTTAAAAAGTCAAAAGAGAAAAACGTTAGTAAGACATAATTCATATGCCCTGCTTTCTACATACTGCACAGCTGTAGCACAAAAAGCTGTCTTTACCTTGGTGACTAGTAGAAGGAAAACAGTTTAGGAAAAGCTCCTTTCCTACAGTCATGGTAAAGAATTTTTTACTATGAATATGTTAATCATGGCAAGAACAAACAATGACATGAGCAAGGTTTTCACTAGTACGGTTTCATGTCCAGCATGGTTAAAACAAAAATCAGCATGCCAACTTCTCCACCTGTAACATCTACTTCAAAAATTGCCAATAAACTAGATGCTTATGCAGCCCTTGGGGATCCAAGTGACACTTTAAATTTTCCTGATTTTCCTGATTACTTGGGTATGCATGCATCTTTCTACTTCACATAGAAACAAGACTGCATTTAGTTGTAGGAGAAACCAGACCTTTATGGAAAGAAGATGAAACTATAATCCTATGCACTTCTAGCCTGAATTTCTGAAGGGAGCCACCCCAGTAAGTTTCTAGGCTTCAAGCTAAAATAAAGCCCTTCCCCTCCCCCCCTCCTTGCAGCTATCTATGCAATCTCACTGATATGACAGAGGTTTCACTGCACCTATATTCCTTGAAGAATGTCACTGAGGGGATTCCTCTGGAGGGAAATTCCAGACACATTCTAGGCCCAGTAATATACCCAGTCTCACACCAGTTTTGCTTTAGCATTTTCCTTTTTTTGTAAATTACTGTTGCTTCCAAAAATAGAAACCTAATCATAGGTAAAAGATTAGTCAAATAGCAGTATTTACCACAGTTCCTTACATTAGTTAAAGTTGGAATGACATTATTTTAATTCCTTATTTTTAAGGTCTAAACTGTACACCTCCAATCTTGTGTGACAGCTTCTATGTGCCTTCACTGTTCACACTGGACACAATCACACTTCAATGATACAGGTTCTTCAGCTGAAAAGACCTGTCATTCATGGTTATTGTCCAAATCTTTGGGTGTTTTGAGAAAGAAGTCTCATTGTCAAAAAAAAAAAATTTCTCAGTCGCTAAGATGGGTTAGTTAAAAAAGCTTCTGTTATGTATCCATTCATCTCCTATGATACCTTATTTTTCAAACCACTGCTGATCTGTGTTTTACTTGACAGAAGCATTAAGAAGTCATACTAAGATCCCCCAAGCTCATTTTTCATGAACTCCAGTTTTGTTTTGGGCTCTATCTCCCTCTCTACCAATATTGTCATTGCAGCAGAGCAGCAGAGGACTGACTTTTTAATCCAGCACAGCAGAAGACAAACAGGCACAGCAACATGAAAATGCATCATGTTCCTCAACACAGCTGTCCTGGTTTCAGCTGGGATAGAGTTATTTTATTTCCTAGTGGCTGGTGCAGTGCTGTGTTTTGGATTTAGTCTGGGAATAATCCTGATAACACACCAGTGTTTTAGTTTTTGCTCGGTAGCACTTACCCTGATCAAGGACTTTTCAGTCTCTCATGCTCTGCCCATGAGAAGGGGCACAAGAAGCCAGGAGGCAGCGGAGACAGGACCCCTGAACCAAACTGACCAAAGCATGTCATGCCTAGCATAGAAACTGGGGGGAGTTGGCCAGGAAGGATCAATTGCTGCTTAGAGATGGGCTGGGTATTGGTCAGCCGGTGGTGAGCAATTGTACTGTGCATCACTGCTGTTTGTCGGGTTGAGGGGCTTTTGTTTGTTTGTTTGAGTTCCCCCCTCCACCTTTTAGTTTTATATCTCTCTCCTTGTTATTTCCCTTTTCAGCATCATAATTATTACTAGTAGTACTACTATATTATATTTATTGTAATTATTAAACTGTTCTTATCTCAACCCACAGGTTTTACTTTTTTTCCCCAATTCTCCTTCCCATCCCACTTGGGGTAAGGAGTGAGCAAGTGGCTGCGTGGTACTTGGTTGCCAGCTGGGGTTAAACCACAACCACGGCTAATGTTAAAAACTCCCTGTTCTACTTAAATACCGCATTCCAAGAGAAGGGGGAAAGCAGACACATTAACAGAATAGTAATGTTTCACAGCTAAAAAGCAAGCACCACATACAGAAAAATTCCCTGGCCAGTACTACATAAGGCTCAACAGTTCCTTTCAACATGTAACAGAGCTAAGGTCACAAGAACAATATTGCACCACAGATATATCTAGATCTCTAGATCTGTTCCCTCTGCAGTCATTAGGGAACTTGATTTTGCACACAGACCTTGCGGGAGAGCAAGGTGAGGTGGCGGTTCAAGGACTAGTTAATGCTTCACATGCAAAGCTTGTCAGAGGTGGGACTCACCAAGAGCCACACAGAGAGGTTTCTGTGCTAGCCATTTCTCCTTGTTCTATAAACAGCATAATCCATTATTGCTTTCTGGTGGGATATGGAGGATGTATTAACAGTAACACTGACACACAGAGGATGTAACACAACCACCACACATCTCTGAAACCTCAGATTCAGGAGAGCATGGGAGGTGCTTAGAACTGAAACTGCACAATGTTATTTTCAGGAATTATATGCTATATGAAAGCCAGATGTAAACAGAGAATCACAACAGCAAAAAAGGATAAAAAGTCTGTTCAGTATCATTTAGTTCCATAGAGAGAGTTGGGAAAGAAACAGTGCCATCTAATGGATTTAAGCTTCATCTCAAACTGTTTAGTTCCTCTTATTTTCCCAAAAGCTAAAACTGTAATAAAATGGCAAAATGGCAGTGTCACGATCCACCTTTAACAATGTTCTCACAAAGATTAAGCACTGTTTTGCAGTTCTAGATTGTGAAGAAGGTTGCATAAGGACATACCCGTCTGTCAACATCGAATAGCTATACTTTGTTCCCAGTTCTCGCTGTCTCATCCACTCTATGACATTCTGCAGAACTTGAGTAAATGTCTCAGCTTTATCGACAATGTCCTAAGAGAACAAAAAAAAAAAAAACCAACCCAACCCATCAGTAAGGAACATTTTAAAATAAAAAAACCCAAACCAAACCAGCATGAAGTGTAAGAATTATATGGGTATATAGGCACTCACTGAATCACTTATTCACTAAATTGGCTTCGCAGAAGTCTTTAGAAACAGATTACACACTGAGATAAGCAGACAATTGGACACATTTTTCTAAACTTAAAAACAAGCACCACAAAAGCACCACTAAAAGAGCCAACCTCCAAATAGCATCTATAAAGGTAACAAGGTTAGTCAGGTGTTGAACTTGGATTAAAGCCTTTGAGCTTGTTTCCCAGACTCCTTCCTGCTCAGGTCACTTGATCACAAGCCATTGCAAGACTCTAAACCCTTTAGAATAAAAATCTTAGAAGAGGAACCGATGCAGTTCAAAAGGTGGCTTCCTCTGCTAAAGATTAATGTTCTGCACATGGATTACAAAGTAAATGCTTTGCCCTACAGTCCTTTAAAAACATCTAAACAACCAACTTAGGAAATAAATTCTGTGATAATATAGAGAAAGAGGGGAAAACAAGAATTAAGAGAATAAGCCTTACAGAAAAATTACCAAGAAAGGTTACCAGTCTGAAAACACCAACACCACATCTCTTTTGTTTCCTTTTTTTTTTTTCCCCTGAAGAAACAAAAGTGCAAAGTACCTGGGTGATTCCTGTCAGGCTGATGCAGAAGTTTGAAAGCTTGGGATTAATCTCTGGCTTCACGTATTGCTGAAATGTGTCCTCCTGTAATAAGAGAATCACCCACTCAGCAACAGCACACTACATAGCCTGCAAGGCAACCTCTTGGGCTCGCCTGTAGCCAAAAGGCAATAGCAACTACTTGGGCCCTGCTGGAAGCAAAAAGGTGTGTGCACCTCCCAAGCCAATATAAGCCTCCTGACTGACGATCGTGAGATTCCCAATGGGACAGGTAGATGGCTCTCCAACTGGAACATGTCCTTCCTCTCAGCCAGGAGACACCAAAAAACAGGAATGTGGGTAAGAGGGGAGAAGGACAGACTGCAATAAAGGGGAAGACTCTGGAAAAGGAGAGCATGAGTAAGGAAAAGAGAAGTGTGAGGGATGATGAAAGCCTGATACTTTTTAGGTTGTGTCTCTAAAGGCTCACTGGCAACTGCCCGCACATCTCAGAGGCAGAAGTCACATACCTCTGGATGCCAGCCAGCCAGAAATGAACACAATGACCTCATTCTGGGAGACTAAGCAGTGCAAGAGTGAAGACTACATGCAAGTTTCATAGGAAGAAGAAAGCCCCAGATCCCTGCTGCTACACAAACCCTTTTGAACAGAGGGGAAAACAACCATGCTGTTTCCTACTACTCTAAAGGTAATAAAGCAATCTTGGTAACATGCACACTGCTCTTTCTGCAGTTAGCTATACATGCATCTACACTCTAACGTAGCACCACAGTGATTACTGGAAATCCTCCTCCTCTTAGAAGTTCTTGATAAATGAACCATTAGGCAGAGGTGGGTGCACTTTCTCCATTTCACTGAGTCACAGTTTCAGTTAGACAGCAAGTCGTTTTTCCTAAAAGAAAGCTGTACTGGAACAGAGCACTCAAGGCTGCCAAATGCCTACTAAGTATGTTTAAAATCAGGTTACACAGCTGTCAATCTGGCAGGTACACTGTGGTTGTAGTCTAGCCCGCAAAGAAGGAATGTTAACTCAACCACCCTTTCTAGGCCTCTGCATTAGTCTCTTCTAGATTGCCTCACACAGGACCACTGAACTTGCCAATTCTTGTTTATGGTGAATCCCTCGAGTCCTGGAAATAGCTTTCTGGATCTGAAAGCAGAGAAATGGGCAGGGGGGGAAGGACGACTGGGAGACTGAAAGTCCCTCATATCAATAGGAGGAGTCAACAACAGGAGCATGATCTATTCCAGATGCTTTAAGAACAGAAAGTTTTGTGTGTACGGAAGGAGGCACAGAGGACAGGTCTTTATGGAAGAAAAAAAAAAATCAATAATCAGATCACTTACTATTTTCAGGGTATGCGTGTTTAGTAAGACAACAGGAAACTCAATTATTTCATGTACGAATTCACGTGGGTTTCCTTCTTCACATGTTGCTTCAAAGTCAACAACACAGATGTAGTCATAGCAGTTGTCTCTATTAATGGTTTCCTTCTGCATTAGCTTCTGTTTCTTGTAATAGTTTTTCAGTCTCTTTTTCAGCACATCTTTCACTCCTCTAAAGAGATGAGGAAAGTGACAAAGATCACACTCACATTTAATTATTTCATCGTTGTAGAACTGAAGCTCTGTTTAACATTTGAAAGTTTATAATTTATGAACCTCATTTTGAACACGAACACTTACAAAGTCAGAGTTCAATTTTACCATACACTTAATGCTCTATTACATGGGGTAGTGCAGAGGCTGCAATACCACCCACCCATCCCCAAATAACACAGCAGCTGAAGCCTTTGCAAAGCCCAAGACATTTTAGATTGCCCCTAGATGACCTCTGGACCTGGGAAGCACAGAACTGCTTCACCCGTATTTCCCTGTGCCCTCTGCCAGAAGCGGGTGATGCCCGAGGTATTTCTGCATCAGTGGCACAGACAATGCAGAATCCAGCTAAAACACCCACATTTTAAATTTGTCTCAATTTAAATTTAAAATTGAGCTTGAGTAACTCCATCCAAACAGAGTACTTGAGATTTCAGCTGTCAGAAAAACTTCCTGGTCGAGATCCTGCTTTTCAGGAGGTATGTGGCCAACACACGAATTCACAGTAGCAAGTGATTAAAGTTACTTACTGCATCTTTTTAACATAAACATTATAATATGCAAGTGCAGGTGCCAGAACTACCATGTACCAAACCAGAGCTGAATAAACAAGGATAATTTACTCTTCCAAGGAAGTTATTTTTAAAGTTACACATTGCAAATGAAATCACAGAAGTCGTAATAGCTCCTTGTAGCAAGTGCTATTATCAGAAAAGCAGTCCAGTGATCCACAAGGTAAAAAATGGAATCAGACTACTAAACCTGCATTTGAGAATATCAGCTGCTTCTGCAAACACAGGTAAGTTTTTTTCACTCTGGTTTATTAATCTAGTTTAGTTCAAATCAGTTCATTAACAGTTTAGCCAATATGGAAGGCGATGGAAGGGAAAATTACCTTTTTCTTCATCAAACCTATAAAGGAAGTTGACAGAGGAGATGATCTGCTATCAAAATAACCCCAAGGAAAAGGATTGTTTTGTGGCAATCTGCTCAGCTCACTACCTTTGAGGTGATGCACTATTTGTTTACATGTGTCCTGGGTTCAGCTGTGCAGTTATTTTTCTCTTTCTTAGTAGCTGGTGCAGTGCTGTGTTTTTGACTTTAGCCTAAGAATAACACTGATATGTAAGACATATTCCCACCAACTGCATTGAATATATTGACGAGGTAAGTCTGGCTTAGCTGAAAAAAAAGTTGAAAGAAAATTTTAAAGCTTGCTGCATTTACAACTGAATAAAAACAAATAGAAAATTAATAAGTGAGGAGTGAACCACAAACACATCCTTAACTATTTGAGTTCTGCTTTCTGGTTTTATATCAGAATAACTGCTCAACAGCTGTACAAATATAACCTGGTTAACACAAAAAAAAATAAGTATCAAAAACTGGTAATTTTCTTCCTCCTGAGGAGCTAATCCATTTAACCAAAGGAAGAATTAAAGAAACCTCTGCATCAGAACATCTGCAGACAGACTGCACTTCCCACCCACACAAGTCTTTCTTTTCTGTCACTCTGTTCAAAGGAACCTCTGTTGCTTCCTTCTCCCCCACAACATCCTCTCCCCTACAGTCATCTTCTCTAGAAAGCTAGACTTCTCCTTTCATACTCTCACCTTTCATATTCCCTCTTCCTCCAGAGCAGTAGTTTCTCACTTTGCTACTCCCCCCCCCCCCCTTAATATTTTACTGTCATACAGAGGAACTGGACTTCCCCCCTTTCCCCCCCCCCCCCCCCCACTCCCTCATCCCTGCTGCCAATAGACACAATACACTTTGGTTTTACCCAGATGACCTTTTCAACATCCCAAATTTGCCTGGCCACAGCAATATCAAAGGGTCTTGCAGCTCATTTCTGACAAAGCAGGAACCACTCTATATTCCCAGCCCTTTCCTCCTCCTCAGTGAGCACACATCCAGTTAATAATACATTCACCTATTCTCGTTACGCTATCTCATCTATTCAGATTAGCAAACCCTCCATCTAAAGGTACCAGTCCTCTGCATCGATTAAATCCCAAGCCCTATCACCACAGCAGTTCCAGCCAGTATCAGATCTGTAGTGCATACGGTAAATAAAACCATGTGTGTTCTGAAGTGAGTTTCTATACCCTGAAAGTCTGCACCACCACCTAAGAACTCTTGCTGTTCTTCTTGACCAAATACGTGTTCAGAAGTACCCTACAGTTACATATTGTTCCACTTCTTTGTGTTAGCAGTTGAGACAGCACGCATTCCTGGTAACACACGAAGTAGCATCACACGCAACAATCCAACAACAAAGGCTGCATCAAGACTGCACACAAACCAGCTGGTGTTTGGTGAAGTGTCTGCTTTTTGCTTTGTGGTGTATTTTTAAACTTTATAATAATCATCCCCTGTGGCTTTGCTGCTCTCAAAGATAAACCAAAAGGTTTACAAATCAGCCTAACCTGGTTTCAAGCTTGAACTCTGCAAGTTTACTTCTGAGCTCATCTCTGGTCATTCTGTTGATATAACCATTGGTCATGGCAATTTCTTTGTAAACTGGATCACTGAAGTCATTTGGACTGGCAGCTGGCATTTTCCCATTAGTTTCTTGGTCACTGATCCTACAATGCTGCCTACCCTAGAAGAAAGAGAAACATGGAGGTCAGATAAGGTGAAACCAAGAGGCTAGAGGATTAGGATTTATGCATCATTTTGGCACCAAAACGCAGTAAAGCATCACGCTGCTTCACTCATGATCAAACTGGGTGAACTAGCTTATCGACAGGTAAGGAAATCAGTACTGAAGCCTAAGTATCGACAGACAGAATAAGGGGATACCAATGCACATGCCTGAAGTCATGCTGGTCAGCAGCTCTGAGAGACAGACCCTGAATAGGCATCCCAGTTTCAACGGAAGAAGTTAGTTCCCTGGTACGAGCCGGCAAAACCTTATCCAGCATCAAGAGATTCCTTAATTAACAGTTTGGGTTGGAAAGGACCTTAAGATCATCCAGTTCCAACTCCCTGCCATGGGCAGGGACACCTCGCACTAGAGCAGGCTGCTCAAGGTCCCGTCCGCCCTCTCCAATCTACTGATTCTACACCGATTGGGACACACGGGCAGATACCCAGGATGTGCAATATAAACAAATTAAGATGAGAAACTAAAGGCACTTCGACTCCAAACGGTTATTCGCGCCCTTTGCGGGGCTAGGACACAGCGCGGCC